TCCCACATGGTTGACCATGGTTTGAGTCCTGAACCCAGTGGCTTGGAAAAAACACTGGACACTTGTGTGTGCATGCCCAAGATCCCAGGAGGAGAATGGATTGCAATATGGCCATTCCCCCTGAGGGATGATCTCTCATTTTACCACTCACTGTCTCTGTCACTCTTTCTCTAGTGAGCACACCCACCCTAAGACAAAAACCTCTTAAGAAAAAAAAATCAGTTGGCTGTATATTTGGGGTTTATTTCTGGGTTCTCTATTCTGTTTCATTGGTCTACATGCCTGTTTTTTCCCCACCACTACCATGCTGTTTTGATTATCACAGCTTTGTAATATATTTGGGTGTCAGGAAGTGAGATATATCCTACTTTGTTCTTTTTTGCACAATATTGCTTTGGCAATTTGGGGTCTTTTATGATTCCAGACAAATTCTATGATTGTATATTCTAAATCTGTGAGGAATATCTCTGGTGATTTGAGAAGGATTGCATTACATTTGTAGATTAATTTGGGTGGAATTGACATTTTGATAACGTTAATTCTTCCAATCCAGGAACATAGGATGTCCTTCCATTTTTTTGGTGTCATTTTAAGTTTCTTTTTTTTTTTAGTTTTTCATAGTTTTCCTTATAGAGGTGTTTGATTTCTTTGGTTAGGTTTATTCCTAGGTATCTCATTTTTTTTGTGACTATTGTTAAAGGGATTACTTTCTTCAATTCTGTCTCAGTCTGCTCATTGTTGGTGTATAGAAATGCTATCAATTTTTGTATATTGATTTTATATCCTGCCACTTTACTGTTTTTTTTTTTCTTTTTTTCTTTTTTTTTTTTTTTTACGAGATTTTCACTGTAGGGCGCGTGCGCTCGCCAGACAGACAGAGAGAGACATAGAGACAGAAAGCGAGAAATCACCCCCCAGGGGGGATGGTCACGCCGCAATCCCTTCTCCTCCATTCTCCTCTCGGGATCTTGGGCACGCACGCACACGCGCCCGGCGTGAGTTTTAAGCCACCGGGTCCAGGACGTGAACCGCAGTCGACTACGTGGGAGTCCAGCGACATAGCCATTATGCTAACTGCTGGTTCCCTTTACTGTTTTTTATTGAAGAAATAGTTTAAACATACACACACCCAGGAAAGCCACAACCAATTTTGAAGCCAGAATAAGATAAACATCATGGTATCTAATTAACAGTTTCTTCCCTGTCACATTCCCTTGTATTTCCATAAGATATAAATAGTATTTTTAATTTATGCTTAATTACATTTTTGTTTGATTTTCTCTTTCATATTTTACTAGATGATGCTAAAACGTTTTCCAAAATAGTAAACCAACTACATTTCCTCTACTAGGAGGGCTCCCTTTCTTATACATTAATACTTCCATGTTAGTGCTTGGCATGGTCAGACTCTTAATTTCTTTGATTATAAAAGTATTTTTTATTGTGGGCTCAATTTGCACTTCTCTGATTTTTGATGATGATGAGTAGCATTTCCTAAAATTTTTACCATTTTGTTTCATTTGTAAAATAGCTACTCATGACTTTGGCCAACTTACTTAATAGTTTGTCTTTTGTTTTTTATTTGTAGGACTTTCTTGTGTTTGTGGAATACTGTTGCTATTCCTTTTCAGTTATATAAGTAGCAAATTTTCCAGTTTGTACTGGTTTATCCACTTTATGATCTCCTTTAATGAACTCACTGGTAGTGCTTAAGTTCTGTCTCAGTTTTGTGAAATCTTAATAAATATCCTTCCTTTCAGCCTCTCATGCCTTTGCCACCTTGCCTTCTATTTCCTTATAGTACAAGATGGTCAATATTAGTTTTCAGATGTCCAGATCTTATAATGTCACTTATCTGCTTAAATCCATTAAAGAGTTTGTGTTTGGTTGGTTGGTTTTTAAGTTTATTTCTTTCATAAATAAGAACAACAGAGGGAGAGTGACAGAGAAGTATCCCCAGCAGTGTCTAGCTGCTATGATTCACCTACCACCTTCACTCACCCGTCAGATCATGGGCAAGTGTGTGTCCAGAATATTCAGAGAGTTTTCCAGATGTGAACCCAGAACTACCTCATGAGGGTCAACCTCACAGAGCATCATGTTTTACCACTGTGCTCCTGGTTGGACCCAAGAGTTATTTATTACATACCTCAAAAAACATTCTAAGTTCCTTAATGTCTTTTTGGGCCCATTATGATTTTACCTTTAAGGTCTCCCTCCTTTTCCTGGAATTCCAGTGAACTACTAGGGTTCTTTCAGTCCATTCTTGCCTCAGTAACTCCCAGTGGTGCCTCAGGTCTCAGGTCGAGCATTGACGATTAATCTCTTGTTTGCTCATTCTGTTGGAATCCTTTAGTGCTTCTCCACATATTAACTCCTAGTCTACATGGTATCTTCTCTATCTCACTTTAATCTGTTAACTTCTTTGAATGGCTCCCTTCAGATTCTTGGAGTTTCCTGGGAAGGAATCTTTTCTTTGTTCACTGTGCTATCCCCCAGAGGCCATCAGAGTATTCAGCTTTTAGTAGATGCTCAATAAATGCTTGTTGAATAAGTAAATACACAAATGACTGGCATCCCCCACTTCAATGTGGTACACAGATGGTCAGCAATCTTCACTGAAACATGCACCAGTTTTCTAGCAGCAGCCCACCGCCTACCTAAAATGTATTTTAACGAGGCCCAGCATACCTAGAAGACATGATGTCCTAGATCTATGACTATATCCTCTATGTTGATACAGCCTATGTGGAATTGTCTCTGAAAGCAGAGTCAGTGAACAGGTCCCAGGCTAAAGGGTGACCCCTCGTTTGCTTCACGACAAATAACAAGTAGTGTTGAGCCAGGTGACATTTCCCAATACTTCCATTTCCCCCTTACGACAAACAACTGTATCAGTAGCATCTGAAAAGAAGTAAATTAACCTGTAAAAGTTCTGTAGAAAAAAGGGGGAAATGACATAAAGACAGTAGAGAAATACTAGGGAGCTTCAAAAAGATCATGGAAAATGCATATTATGAAAAAACAATGTGAATTTTAAAATGTGCCAAAACAAATTCGTACTTTAATTCCACTTTTCCATGAGCCTTTTGAAGGCCTCTCGTATACTGAGTTTTATTAGTTTATCTCCTATTTTCAGTATATATACAAGACTTCTCTGTTTACTTTGTGGTTTACTAAGGTCACATTTAAGTCTTGGTTGAGACAAGGCTTAGAATTGCAAACTTTGCAACCAGCGCTCATCTATAATTAAAAATAATAAATTGTACTTAAACTGATACTTTTTAAGTAATTGGTTAATTTTTATTACTGCTGTTCTTGTTAGGGGACACTGTAGCTTTCAAATATGATTAGATGATAAGTTATTCTTGCTCATAACATTTGTCTTTTGAATCTGATTAGGTGATAAATTACACTTGGTCTTTACATTGGTCTTTTCAACGCTACTCTCATTTATACACACTTTAGTTTTTGTTTTAGGTATTTTTCAAAATTACAACATACACTGTTTAAGAAAATAAGTTATGGGGCTAACAGATGGGATGGTGGTTAAGGCGCTGGACTCTCACATGGCTGACCATGGTTCGAGTCCTGACCTGGAAGTTTGCTTTCTCACTCTCCCCCATCTCTCTCTGGTCAAATTTAAAATAAAATAAAATAAACAATTTTTTTAAAAAGGTAAATAAACTTCTTGGGATCAGCAGATAGCGTGATAGTTAAGGTGCAGGATCCCACACGGCTGACTCTATGGTTCGAGTCCCAGACTGAACAACTTGAAAATCACACCAGGGGTGTCTGTGTGAGTGCCCCAAATCTTAAGAGGAGAATGGAGGGAAAGGGATTGTAGTTTGACCATCTGCACTGGGGGGAGTGATTTCTTACTATGCTTCTCTCTGGGTCTCTCTCTGGTGAGCTCCTATTCCCTATAGCAAAAATAAATAAATACTAAAAGACAAGAAGCTACTTGTGTAAAATTCACTGATAGGTGATGTCTTATGTGTTACTCCATGACTATTGAGTCTCTCAGGATTATGGCTGTCCTGGGTAAAATATTTCTCCAAGTGGTAGAGTTTCTGGTGCATTGAGTTCAGTTTATTTCTCATTCTTCCACTGGTCTTTGAGCCTACTATCTCTGTAAGCCTCGGTTATTGCCTCTGGAATGTAAAGACTGTAGGTAAATAGGAATGGGGGCCGCAGTTACACTCAGTAATCCAATCAAGTGGCATCTACCTGAATAAACCAGATGATTATCGGAAGCAAGCAGGCGAAGAGACAGATACCTACTGGAGTGAAACTAGAGGTTTGGGCTGAGTCTTTGTACCCTTCATCCTGTAGCACACGCACTTTACCAATCATTTTATAAATATCTTCATGGTGTGGGACCCTATATGTAATACAGAACTACAATAAATAAGACCGAGCAGGACAGCAGACCTGGCTACTAGGAACTCCTTACTCTGGGCAATACATGCGTGTAAATGTAGGGGAAGAGCATGCGTGTCTGCTTTTCCTCTATGGAAAACTGTGCTGTGGGTTGGCATATCTGTCTTCAGCATCTTGCTCATCCTGATGGTGAAATGTCAGACCTTAGCAGGGAAGTAAGAAAGCTTTATTTTTAGCAGAGAGCCAGTATTTTCAGTGCTTAGATTAAGTCACAGCACAGCATAGGAGGACCTGGTCCTCAAGGAAGGAGATTTACTCTCTCAGCAAGGGTTGACAAACTTGGGAAACCATTCTCATAACAGCCCACCTATCCCTGCCTTTGTACCCACCAGGGTAGGCATGTAAATTTCAGAATAGTCCACATGTTTGTAGCAAAAAGATCTTATCAACAAAGAGGTTAGACAGTCATTAAGCCACCTTGGTGTCTCTGCCAACACCCTCCTGTGTTAAGTGAAGCAAGAGCAGCCCCACCCATGTGTGCCCCAGGACAAAACTGATGTGCTGTGCACCCCTTTGCTGCATCCTGGCTTTTCTCTAACTGGTTTTCTTTTCTGCAGGACATTGATGGCCAGGCTCTGCTACTCCTGACTTTGCCAACAGTCCAGGAGTGCATGGAGCTGAAGTTGGGACCTGCCATCAAGTTGTGCCATCAGATAGAGAGAGTCAAAGTGGCTTTCTACGCCCAGTATGCCAACTGACTCTACCCTCCCGGGAGGCGGCCCATTCTTTTTGTGATGCAGAGTTCATAAAAGTTTTCAGGACTGGACTTTGATATTTCCAGGATCTGTGAAATGGTACATGCTCAAAGTTTCACCAAAAAGTCAGGAGCCGAGGAGGACCTCCTTCATCCACCAGCCTGTTTGATATTTCTGCGTTTTTAAAGCACACTGAAGCCCCACCACAGGAGCTTCTGGAGAGTGTGAATTCCAGTTCTGTGCCAGACCCTGCTGGGATTGGAAAGAGTTCTTTGTAGATCCACATTTCTCCTTTCTCCCACCCACCAAACCAGGCAGCTTCTTTCAAACAAGATTTCCTAAACCGAAGCCCGGATTCTTTGAAAATGAAGGCGGGCACACTTGACATATTTTTGAATATGACTGAGGAGGATACCTAACCCCTTGCTGGTAGTTTTTGCTGTAATCATTCTCAGGCACATTTATAGACGCTTCTTTCCTATCAATACACGCGTGACTGTGATTTGACGGCACATGCTGTCCCAGTGGTTTGATCTTAGTGGCAAGTCCTTTCTCAAACAGAGCTGTAGATGGTGTTTCAGGATGTCATTATAAAAAGATGTGCTAAACCTCTCTCCTCTGTCAGAGGTGCCTTTCAGGAAGTATGGGGAGTGAAGAAAGGCCATGATTTTCTTCAACAAGAGGGTTTTTCTTCAGCGACTGAAGCCTAGAATGTCTGTAGAAGGAAGCTCGTCCCAATGTTGTATAAAACCTCAGATTATCGCCACTGTTCTCATTTCATTGTACCTAGATCAGAGGGTTACTCCTTTAAAGAAGTGTTGACTTCTGTTTTCAAAGAAAAGCTTAATTTTAGAGAATAAGAGTGGGAAGAGATTTGCAAGAAGCACTTCCTGAACTAGCTATATCCCCTTAGAAGGATCATGGGGCAGATCTCCGCAGAAGACTCTGAAGACTCTCCCCCAACGTCCCAAAGTCTGTTTCCTTCTGCTCTGGGTCACCACATATGCTGTAGGCACAAGGTGCTGAGCCCCTGGCCCTGTGCTGCTCAGCGAGAACACTGGACTTAGACTCTGTCTTCTTATATTGGCTTTGTTAATGACTAGCTGTGTGATTTGGGTAATTTTTTGGTCACTCTAGACCTCACTTCCTGTACAACAATAGGAGTGGACACTCAGGAGGGCGTGGTGACCACACCTGTTCCTCCTGGGCTGTTACACTCATGCAGAAAGAAGGGAAGAGTCCAGATGGTTCAAAACGAGAACCAGACAGAACAAGAAGTGTGCAGCAATGGCTTTTCCCTCTGCAATGTCACAGTCTCCTCTGGCTTAGAGGTTGCTTGCAAAATGTCTTGAGCAGTTTTATTAAATCAGCAAAGTCATTTACAGACCAGTCTGGCTTGGAGAATTGTCTGGTCTTTTGTGCCAAGCACTTCACCTGTGTATTCTCGTCAGTGATTTGATATGTTCATTCAAACCCAGATGGACAAGTGTCTTCTATTGAGCTGGCTGCTTCAATGCCTTGCTGAACTTATGCAAGGAAACTAAACCTTTGCATTATTCAGAAGGAGACATGAAAAGTAGAGGCTTCAGAGCCTGCTATTTCTCTTTTACCATAATTACCTGACCTTTTCTCTTTGATGAGAGTCTCAGCAATTCCAGGAATACCCTGCGGTGGGCTGCTCCTATTTCTGCAGTGTTTTTTAAGGCGTGATTATTGGTCAAATTTTGAGAACTTTGCTTACTAAGGCAAACCTTCCTTAACATTCTGTAATGGTCTCAGATGAAAATGGAAAATATTTTGTGGTTGAGACTGTTTTAGTCTCCTCTATAGCTGATCCTGACACTCATGGTTGGTGACTGACTTTGCCCGGAACTTCTGATGGAAGGAACATGTCCGGCATAGTTGTGAGGACCTGGATGCCCTGGTGATTTGTGGTTGGCTTGCAGCTGATCTCTCTTCTGTGCTAAAGTTCTGACTTGTCCTCGGCTCCCTATTCCTGTCTCTCAGCCACACGCTTTTGGCCTTAACCGCTCAGTCTTGTGGAGTTAAGCTCTGTCAAACGATTGGAAAGAGTATCCATTTCAAGTTCTTTGGCATTTTCCCTGCGCTGCCTCCTTTATGATCCTTCACCGTGGCCTTTTCAAGCTGAGCTATTTCTGTTGCATTTAAAACGAGGATGAGAGAACGTGCTGGCTACAACCTAACATTGTATTTTCAAAACCAATAGCACCTTCTTGTGCCCTTTCCAGTAAAGACCTGGAGGAGGAGGTGCCACATCAGAATGAGGGAACCTTCTTGGGTCTCCTGAGCTCACACAGGAATCCCAAGCAAGTTATAGCCGCTGTTGCTGGGGGAAGCTTCTTAATTCCCAGGAGACCACATGCCCAAGACTCCGCTTATCCTCCACTTACAGTTTCACTTCAGTCTCTCTGGGCATGGTATTGGTCACTTTGTCAGCCTCAACCTCATGTGCCCAGGGTCAGGAGGAGATAGCTGTACTGGATGCAGAGGAGAGCCTTGTCCTGGGACCTCCATCATGGAGGCAGTCTGAGCGCTACCTCCCAGGCACCCCAGGTGAGCCAAGAAGCATTTTAGGGCCATGGAGATGCTTCTCCTCTGAGTGTTGCCAGTGTCCTCCTAAATTTGGATTCTTTGGAGTGCCCCATCCTGGGGGGTATACTTCATGTCAGCAGTAGTTCTATTACGGAAGTGGAAAGTGGTTGTTATTTCTCTGTAGGTTTCACCTCTCACCAGCTTCTGTCTTAAAGATAGGGCCAATTTCTATGGAGCATTTTGCTGTGTTGTGTCCTTGTTACTTTTTGGCAGAAAAAAAACAAAAATAGATTCTACACGAATACCCCGATGTCTCTACAGCCCCAAAGTCAAAACCATCTTCGACTGGACAGCAAAGGATGCCCTGTATTCTTTCCCTGGATGGTACTATTTCCTCTCTCTTCTTCTCTTTGATCAAACTTTGGGACCAAAGTCCTCTCCTTTTTACACCTGGGCCTCGTGTTCATGATGCCTCTCATACCTCCGGAAGCTGACCAAGCAGACACTTCACGGTCTGTGCCATGTGTCTAACCTGAGAAAACAGAAATGCCACCTCACTGTGATAGGCGTGCTCAATCCTACCTGAAAACTGACGGAGCTTGTTTCAGCTCCTCACTGCTTGACTATGCTGTGTTGTAAAAATATCCTGTCCACGAAACACAAACAAAACAACCTTAAGAAAAACAGGGTATTACTGGCATTATAGCACTTCTTTACTTTTTAAAACAAACAAATAACAACACTTTCTTTCACTGCAGAGCTTCATGGAGAACTCGCCGGTCACTTTCAGAATTCAGTGCATTTGATCAGAGTTTGAGGCCCGCAGAGTATTTGAGCTGCACAGCTCCTAGGTTCCTCTATCTTACTTGATCATATCTGCAAGATTATTTCCTGTGTTTGCTTTGATTTGTTCCTAAATAAAGCGATCCAAACTTTTTTAACACTGCCACCTCTGACCCTTAGTACAGTTTTCAGGAGGTTGATTTCGATCAAGCCATTTGAAGAATGGTCTTGGTTTCCAAACATATCCCATTGAATTTTGAGGGTTATATTAAGCACGCTCTGGGATTTACCTTCTGTCTTTTAACAAAACACCCCTTTCTAAGCGCTGTTTTCCCTTAGCTTGGAGAGCACTAGGGGTTTCATACATATTGTGTAGGACACCCATTTATATTTATTTCTGTATATAGAAATAAAGCATAAATCAGTAGTGTTCAAAATCTTTGTTGTGGTTTGAGCATCATTGCTACTTTTGGGTTAAGATGGTGAATCTAGGCTCCAGTTACTCTATATTCTGTCTTTAGAAAGCTGTGATGGAGTGTGCAATTATTTGAAAGGAGAAGTTGTAAATTAAGATGTCTGTAGCTTTTAAGGAAGAAATTATTGGAAAGAGATCCATACTGCCCATGTCTCTCTGGTGCAATAATGAAATAACAAGGGAAAGCTATCTTGGCAGCTATCACAATTTAATGATTCTCTCATTTGTTCACTGTTGTTTTCTGTTCAGAAGCTTTCTGAAAATTACTTTATTCCCTTTAAATTGGCTGAATTTTTAAGTGGATTAATTCTCATAGCTTTTATCAACTAAAGTGGTTTATAAAGATCCAAAATATTTTATGTTAAAAATCAAATTGTGGTTATTTTTGACCCAATTAATTTACCTAAAAATGGTCATTTCTGACATATGGTGCTGCCTTGGGTTTTGTTAAAAAGTGTCTTTCATTCAAATGATAAATGATAACTCAGTTTCCTGAGGTGTAGTCTTTCCATCCTATGGGTTTTGTTTTAAATGGCTAAACGTCCGTACTGGTGAATATGTAAGTCATCACATAAACTAGATAGACCAGTGTTTCATATGGGCCAAGATGCACTGAAGGAAAAAAAAAAAAAAAAAAAGGAAAGTTCTAGAACAGTTGTTTGCTGAAAATCACCTTATGATGGAAAATTTGGTACAAATATTTTAAATGACAGAAAAGATAATCATCTCACTTGTTCAAAATGGGAGCTAGCATGCTATCAAGGAGCATAAACTATTCCTAGTCATGGATGTCGAAAGCCCTTTTACTGTTTTGCATTCCAGTTTGACTAGTTTGTATTGCAATTGGATTTCTATCTTGTGTATGTTTTGGTGCATAAAAGGGAAAAATTGGTGTCTTTACTTTGGAAATTTGCAGGACAAAGGGCATGTCATTAGTTTGCTGTAAGATTGTATTCTGTATATATGTTTTCATGTACATAAATGAAAATCTATATCAGAGTTATATTTTAATTTTTATTCTAAATGAAAAACCCTTTTTACTTGAAAAAAATTGTAAGCCACATTGTTAATAAAGTAAAAATAAATTCTATGGTGCTTGTGTCTTTGTGTTGAAGGTTATTAAATATTACTTCCAGTTGTATTAGGATTATTGCGTTTTGAACTTTTTGTTTTGTTTTGCCTTTGCAGTGCACTGAAACATTTATTTCTAGGTTGTTAATAACCATGGCTCTTGGAAGTTCCTATGCATCCCTTTATTCCCCATAGTTTACTTATTTATTTTTATACACGTAATCACTGTATATCCTTACGACTTGTAAACTGAATTCTCTCAGCATGAATACGCTGTATATTAGTCCAGTTAAAGATTTTATACATATTATCATCGACAGATACTTTTTCATTTTCGTGTCCCTTAAATGTTTTGCTTTATTTTTCCCCTTGATTCCCTTCCTCTCACCCTCCCCTATTTTCCACTCTCCTCCCACACTGTCTCTAGTATTTGCAGTTGTTCTCCATGCTTTTTTATCTTCCAGTCGCTTTTAAGGTCAACTCTTAGCTCTGGAATTTTCTGCCCAAGAAGCCTGTATTTATTGTTTTTTTGTTGTTATAATGTATATCCTTATGTTCCCACCTCTAGCCTTCCCATTTTTCAATCATTTTAGTTAGTGTAGGATTACTGATGCTTTAGTAGAAAGATGGTTTTATATCTTTGAGAGCAATAGTTAAATCACCATATTCACATTTATCACTTCTCTGTAGGTGTCACACACAGGTCTTCTGAGAAGAGAAAGCTATTGGCACCCTACCCCTCTGCTGGAATCTCTCACAGGCAGAGCACTCCCCTTTTCCCTCTGCCACCATGGTTCAGGTAATGTCACCTAGGGACAGAGATCAGATAAAAGTGATTAAAAAGCACTCAGGTAATGGGAGATGCAGGGATGCTGAATAATTTTTCCTCTCTTCAATCTCAGACTATTTCAAGTATCTTATTTCACTTTAAAAATATTATTTTGTGGGAACCAGCAGTTAGCGCAATGGCTATGTCGCTGGACTCCCACGTAGTCGACTGCGGTTTGCGTCCCGCACTCGGTGGCTTAAAACTCACGCCGGGCGCGTGTGCGTGCATGCCCAAGATCCCGAGAGGAGAATGGAGGAGAAGGGATTGCAGCGTGGCCATCCCCCCTGGGGGGGTGATTTCTCACTTTCTGTCTCTATGTCTCTCTCTGTCTGTCTGGCGAGCGCACGCGCCTTATAGTGAAAACCTCTAAAAAATATATATATATATATATTATTTTGCCCTGATGACAATGAAGTTCTGTATATTGGAGTTCTTGATTTAATTGTAGAAACCCTTCCTAATGGCAAAGCTTTAACAACAGAAATAAAGCCTAAGAGGGCAAAGGGGAAAATATATTGTTCATTTTTTTCAAATTATTCCAGAAGCAGATAGATAATGATTTATGTGGCTAAGTAAATATGATCATTCCAGGGAACCAGCAGTTAGCATAATGGCTATGGCGCTGGACTCCCACGTAGTCGACCGCGGTTCGTGTCCCGGACCCGGTGGCTTAAACTCACACTGGGCGCGTGTGCGTGCATGCCTAAGATCCCGAGAGGAGAATGGAGGAGAAGGGATTGCGGCGTGACCATCCCCCCTGGGGGGTGATTTCTCACTTTCTGTCTCTATGTCTCTCTCTGTCTGTCTGGCGAGCGCACGCGCCCTATAGTGAAAACTTTTGAGAAAAAAAAATATGATCATTCCATTTTTGTTTGTACTTGAAGGTCTTTGAGAAGAGAAATGTAAAAACTCAATATGTTCTTTTTTTTTTTTTTTTCTTTTGAGAGGGGTTTTTTGCTATAGGGCACGTGCATTCGCCAGAAAGACAGAGAAAGATAGAGAAATAGAAAGTGAGAAATCACCCCCCAGGGGGGATGGCCATGCTGCAATCCCTTCTCCTCCATTCTCCTCTCGGGATCTTGGGCACGCACGCACACGCTCCCGGTGTGTTTAAGCCACCGGGTCTGGGACTCGAACAGCGGTCGACTACATGGGAATTCAGCGACATAGCCATTACTCTAACTGCTGGTCCCTAAAAGCTGAATATGTAATAAGCTGAAAACTGAACACTTGTCCACACTTCTAAATTGAATGAACCAAGGCAAAAAATTTGATTTCTTTTCATGTTGCCACCAAAAACCTATTTTCCATCCTTCTGCTAGTTAGCCAGGCTGTTTACAACTTTCAGTTGACTTAAAGTTACTTCTCCATGATGCTAGGGTTTCTACTGTAACTATCTTATGTCTGTAAGAGAACATAACATTCATTGGTGATTCAAAGACTAGATTTTGAAAATGCTGTTTATGTGGAACATGACCTTGGGTGATCCCATGTAAAGACTGGACATTTTATTGCTGATGTGAAAATACTACATCAAAATAATAGGTGGGCTGCAAAAGTTTATTAGGGAATAGTTTCATCAACAGCTGTTTATAATGTCAGCCCAAGCCCGGATTGCAGCACATGCCATTTAATGTAGCTTGTTTCTTGTGTTAACATATATTGTTTAGTGTCCTGTAGCTGATATGTCTGAATAGCGTTTTTTAGTAAGTTAAAAGAAAACTCTTCTTTGTTATTCTGAAGTCAGATTGACACAAAATGACCACTGCCACCATGTAGTCCTACTTGGGCCAAAATTTACTTTGTGGTCACTATTGTCATCTTTTCCTTGGAATTTTTGGAATGGTAGCTATACTATAGTTAGGTGACTTTGTATATAGGAGGGGACTACAAAAAGTTTCTAGAAAAAAGATAGAATTAAAGTTGGATTTTATTTTGCTGCAAAAATTTGAAATTCATGCATAGTTGTTTCATAACACACATATTCCATGAACTGTTTGAACATTCTATGTGTAAAGAGAGAAAGAAACCAGAATAAAGACAGATAACATTGACTAGAAGAAAGAGTACAAATGCTGCATGTTCTACTGGGTTTAAGTACTTGTTCTATTGCTTTCCAGGGATGCAATACAAAACTTCCATTTCTTTTCTATATATGGTGATACACTCATATGTGGTTGTTGGCAAGATTTTATGTTAGAGCACTGTGTGATACAAGACAGAGCCTTAGCATATGGCAAGTGAATCAGATCCTTAGCTTAACCAGGCACCATTAGCTCCTGGGCCTTTGGCCACTTACTCATTGGAACATCCTGGCTACAACTGTAATGGCCTCTCCCATACCCATTTCAGCAACCCAGGCCGGGCCTAATCAAATGCTTGAGAGGTTGGACCCCTCTTGTCATTTTGCTTTCATATGAAATACATGGCATGGAGTGTAGGACTTTGCTTCCCCCAATAGTTGACCAGAAAGACTGGGTAATACCACCTACAGGTAAGGTACAGTTAGTGTCCTAGAGCACCAGCCTACAGCAATGAAGGCGATGGGACAGGGCTAGCAGCAAAGCTTCCTTCCCTTCGCTCTTGACAAACTGTTCTGAAGAATGGTACGTATGTGTGGCCTGTCCACAGAGGTCTCACTTGATACAGAAACACCTGTGTTTACTTAAGCTGAGGCCCATTATATGATGTACCACCTTGTGTTTGTTTCCTTTCCTCCCTGCCTCAGTTTCCATTTTCTCATTCCTGCAAAAACTGCTGCCTAGATATTATGATCCATATCAAAATATTGGCATAGAAACTTTGCCTCTGACTTTATTATCGTTCAAACTCTAGATAAGCCAATTGGTGTCAAAGTTTTCTAGAAAATATAGCCTTTCAAGTGGGATTTTAGAATTGGATTGTCAACTATCTGAGAGCAATAAGGATCCTTTCGCTCATAGTAGACGGGGGATAACAACATGACAATGACGTCACAGTCACTAAAGCTTTTACCTCTATAAGGTTTAAAGTTAATTTGGATGAGCAGCAGGTAGAAGGCATAGTTGTGGGAGATTAAGTGTCTACTTCTTATAAGGCAATGATATTAATAAAGATGGTGTGTTGAGTAACAACATTTGGTATCACTGGCCTTGAAAAAGGAAAATAGTATGCTTCGAGAAATAATTTATCCGCTCAAGACAGCTTTCAAAGACTTTTATCTTATGCAGCCACAGGGAAGACCTGCTGAAAATGAGGCCCAAAATCTTAGGATAAGGATGACAGAACTGCAAAGGACTGTAAATGTGGAGCGTTGATAGGTCTTCTTTTTCAAAGTCAGCCCTGATAAGGAAAGAGTAAAAATCTGAAACCCAGGATGAATCATTAAATACATAAGCCAAGAATCTAAACCCTCTTCCCAGCAGGAGCACTTCCCTTACTTCACCTAATCGAGATGCTCTGCAAAGTGACATCATTCCCGATACGTGTTTCCCTTCGACCCATCATCACTTCCACAATAATAACCAGATTTAAGTCTTAGCCCAGTTTGAGAAACACAAACCTGATCTAGGAATAGCAGCACACACACCAAAAGAATTATAGTATGTGACTAACATACGCTAGCATAAGTGGGGGAAACGTGTGAGAACATATGAGGGTGTTAGACTAAGCAGAACAGGATGTAAGACTGGATATGGGGAAATTCATGACATTGGAGCACTCTCCTGTTACTTGAGAGCCATTATTCTTGTACAAACAGCTTGGAGACAAGTCTAATGATTACCCAAGATGGTTCCCAGATGTTGGCCTACAGTAGTAAATAAGATGAATTTGCCAGAATATCTTTGTCATAGTACTGAGGAAGAGA